TGCCTTCAGAGGTTGTGGGTGCTTCATCACTGGAGGTTTTAAAGAACAGACTGGACAGTCACTTCTCTGAAATGGTGCAGGGTCTCCTTGCTTGAGCAGGGGGTTGGACTAGAAGGCCTCCAAGGTCCCTTCCAGCTCTATTCTGATTGAAATATTGGAAGAATCATAGAATCATAAAGAGAAGGCCAGCTGCGCTGCAGGCGTGCCTGGGTGTTGCCATAGTTGGGCCACCTCCACAGTCCATGCACGAGCCAGCAGGGAATGCTGCAACCATCATCTTTGAGCCAGGTTGGTAAAGTAGTGAAGGTTACCAGAGGAGATTGTGAGTTCTAGTCCCACCCTAGAAAACAGCTGGGTGACCTTCAGCCAATCATTCTATCTCAGCAAAACTCACTTCATGGGATTGTTGTGGGGAAAAGGAATACCGGTGGTCCTCGATCACAATTGAGGCCAACGTTTCGGTTGCTAAGCGAGACATTTGTTAAGGAATCTTGCTCTATTTTACAACCTTCCTTGCCACAGTTGTTAAGTTAAAAACATGGTTGTTAAGTGAATCTACAGTAGCTTCCGTATTGATTTTGCTTATCAGAAGGTTGCAAAATATGATCAAGTGACTCCGGGACACTGCAAACGTCATAAATATGAACCAGTTGCTAAGCGTCCAAATTTTGATCATGTGACCCACGGGATGCTGCAACAGTTGTGTGAAAAACGATCATAAAGTTCACCTTTTTCAGTGATACAACTGTGAAGGGTCATTAAATGAACTGGTTTTTTTTGGTTTTTTTAATTTAATTTTGATTTATATGCCGTCCTTCTCCGGAGACTCAGGGCGGCTTACAATGCGTTAAGTAATATCTGTAATCTGTATTGTAACTGAATTCTTTAAATATCCTTCGTGGCTGCAGTTAACATGGGACTGACGCCAACAGCAAAAATCTCTTGCAGTTATCAGATAATAAAACATTTTTTTTTTTTACTTTCGTTCTAATTGCTCACTTCTTTGAAAAAGCCGGGGTTCTTTTGAAGAATTCTGTCCGGAGGGCATTCAGAAGAAAAACAAAGTTCAAACAGTTTGAATGTATTTGCATGGAGAGGGGCTGTCGGTTCAGAAGGGCACTTAAAGTTGGGGTGGTAGAAAAGGGCCCTCCAGATTTAACTTGAAGACTATAAAGATCTGCCAAGCTTTGATGATTCAACTCCACAGATGGAAAAGCTAAAATCATGACCTACAGGTATGCATTTTTCAACATGGTTACCTGAAGACAAAGAGACCACTGCTAAAACCCCAAACTTAACAGGGAAGAATGGCAATCTATGCACTTGACAATATTCACACATAACATTTCTTGAATATTATGACCCAGTGCTGTTTCTCAAACTTTTAAAAAAATTATTAGATCCATTTTAAGAGCATGGGAATTCACCCTTTTTGGTGAATGAAATTACAATTATGGTTGTGTTTGTATCTGCTTTCTCATCCTCTTCATTTTTTTCTGAATAATATTTAGTTGATTCAAGAAAAGTTAAAATACAATGTACCAACATATTAGAGAAAAACATGATATTAAAAAAGTGTCTTAAAAAAGATTAACACATATACACGTTAACACCCTCCCTAGTTGAATGCTGATTAATATAATACAACAATGTTAATCTCCCACCCCTTACAAAGCAGGCCAAAAGAATTTTAAACTATTCAACTACTAAATCCAAATTTAAGTGTTATTTTAGAGACCCATAGCAGTTTTCCTGATCAAGAATGTTAATTTAATTCAATTCTAAGCAATGTGTTTGTGTGTGCATAAATCCAACTCTGTGAAATTCTATCTTTAGAAATCGATGGTTGCGTTTCCTACCTCACACTTTTCTTGGGGGTTGCTTATGTGAGAATCACACACTACCCCTCGGCAACGTACACAATGAACCTACAGTCACCATATTCAAGACCTGTTTGCTGGTCTGTTTCTTAAAACATTAGAATCCCTGTTGGAACTTGCAGTGCTGTTTGTACAAGACAAGGAACTAATTTCCAGCCAGTGATTCATTTGCACAAGCCTGCTGGCTGTTGAGGCACGCAGGGGACTGAGACACTGAGTTGGGGGAGATGGGTGGGGGGATTTTCATGACCCACTCTTGGAGAATCAGTGTGGCAAGCTACAAAAGGCGGATTCAAGCATCACTCTAAGCCTCAAACAAAAAAGCCACAAGACGCTTGAATGCAATATGTAGCTAAATCGAACCATTTGAACCAGAGCAAAATTTCCAGTGGATTCAGAGATACTGTACAGCTTGTTTTCTACTGTTTTTAAGCCATGCAGAAGACTAATCACAAAAGTCTAGCTAGCTTACATCCAACGTTTATGTATTATCGGTTTGATTTCTTTGTTGGACTGGTGTGAGCTGTCCAGAGTTGCTGTGAATTGGGGGCGGCATACACATTTAATAAGTAATAAGGATAATTTTAGTTTTTATGAGAAATGCATGGAGGTGTCCCGTATGAAGTTGGAATGATAAGAAAGAAAGAGCAACAGATTATTTTTCTAAATATCTGACCTCTATAGTTCTTCTCTGTCACAAACCATGCCCAGAACTCTAAAAGTTCTCATCACTGCCTAGCCTAATCTGGAGAACAGGAAGAGGCTGCTCACCTCCCTGGCGATTTGGCTGACAATGAAATAAAATCCCAAACACAGAGCTCGTGTGTGGCTGGCCCTTTAAGGCCATTTGACAGACAAACATTGAAGATGGCTGAAAAGAATTAAGATGCTGATTCCAAATTTTGATACAGATTCGGAATTAAGATTCCAAATTCAGTTTCTGATTCCAAATTACAATACAGATTCTGAATTAAGATTAAGATTTGGAATTAAGATTCTGATTCCTAATTATGATACAGATTCCGAATTAAGATTAAGATTTGGAATCAAGATTCTGATTACGATACAGATTCCAAATGAAGATTCCAATTCTGAATTATGATACAGATTCAGAATTAAGATTAAGATTCGTAAAGAAGATTCGGATTCCGAATTAAGCTTCAAAAACCCAAAAGAAAATAAACACAATGCATGAATTCAAACGAATCCAGGAAAGAATATACACTTAAAACAGGGGTGAAATCCAGCAGGTTCTGACAGGTTCTGGAGAACCGGTAGCGAAAATTTTGAGTAGTTCGGAGAACCGGCAAATGCCACCTCTGGCGGGGCCCCGAGATGGAGATGGAGATGGGAATGGAGATTTTGCAATATCCTTCCCCCAGGAGCGGGGAGGGAATGGGGATTTTGCAGTATCCTTTCCCCAGGAGTGGGGAGGGAATGGAGATTTTGCAATATCCTTCCCCCAGGACTGGGAAGGGAATGGGGATTTTGCAATATCCTTCCCCCAGGAGTGGGGAGGGAATGGGGATTTTGCAATATCCTTCCCCCAGGAGTGGGAATGGGGATTTTGCAATATCCTTCCCCCAGGAGTGGGAGGGAATGGGGATTTTGCAGTATCCTTTCCCCAGGAGTGGGGAGGGAATGGAGATTTTGCAATATCCTTCCCCCAGGACTGGGAAGGGAATGGGGATTTTGCAAATCCTTCCCCCAGGAGTGGGGGGAATGGGGATTTTGCAGTATCCTTTCCCTAGGAGTGGGGAGGGAATGGGGATTTTGCAATATACCCTCCAAGAGTGGGGAGGGAATGGGGATTTTGCAGTATCCTTCCCCAGGAGGAGGGGGGGGGGAATGGGGATTTTGCAGTATCCTTTCCCCAGGAGTGGGGAGGGAATGGAGATTTTGCAACATCCTTCCCCAGGACTGGGAAGGGAAATGGGGATTTGCAATATCCTTCCCCCAGGAGTGGGGAGGGAATGGGGATTTTGCAGTATCCTTTCCCTAGGAGTGGGGAGGGAATGGGGATTTTGCAATATACCCTCCAAGAGTGGGGAGGGAATGGGGATTTTGCAGTATCCTTCCCCCAGGAGTGGGGAGCGAATGGGGATTTTGCAATATCCTTCCCCTGCCACGCCCACCAAGCCACACCACGCCCACAGAACCGGTAGTAAAAAAAAAAATGGATTTCCCCACTGACTTAAAACCCTTTGCGAAAGCCATCCAAGGCAGCCCAGGGGCGGCGGGGGGGGGTGGGGACCACAAGAGCCGTCCTTCCAAGCAGAGCTCCCGCAACCGGGCAAGGAATCCCGGCGGGAGAGCCGGACCAAAAGCCAGGAGCGAGGCCGTTCCCCGGGACCAGAAGCCCGGACAGCGGCTTTCCCACTCCTCCGAGGTCCGGAATCCCGGATCCCTCAAAAGCCACCCGCCCCCCCCTCCCCCCGGCGGGCAAGGCCGAGCAAGCTCAAGGTGGGGGGGGGCAACCCAACGGCTGCGCATCCCCCGCAAAGAGGAGCCGAGCCGGGCAGGCGGACCCGACCCTGCGGCGCTCTCGCCTTGCAGCGCTTCCCAACCCCGCGCTTGTTTGCTTGCTTTCTTCCGAGAAGCGCCCGATCCATCGGCCGTGGATCCCGGGCAGCGGCTCCCGGATAAGCCGGCCTGCCAGCCACCCAGCCCTCCTTTGGCCGAAGCCCCCCGCGCGTCATTGCGCGGCGGCGCCTCCTCCTCCTCCTCCTCACAATCCCCCTCTTCGGAAGGGGCTTCCCGCGGGAAAGCGGCCGTCCTTTCCCCTCACCCACCCCCCACCCCCCATAAAGCCCCGCCGCCCACTCCCCACGCTTCCTCCCGCCGCGCCGCCGCCGCCGCCCCTTCCCCGCGGGCGAAGGAAAAGTTGAGCCTTAACTTTTCTGAGGGGCCCTCCCGCGCTTCTTTCAGCCCCTTCGGGAAGCCCCTTCCCGCTCGGCGCCTCACGCCGGCCTCTCCCTCAACCTCCCGCCGGCCGTTCCGACGAGGAAAGACCCCCCCTCCCACCCCCCACCTCTTCCCTTCCTTCCTCCCTCGCCTCAGAGGGTCCCCTCAGCCCCGCCGGCCTCGCTCTTCCTGCCGTCCCCCCCCCGCGGGGCTCACCTGAGACGCGGCGGGGCTCCCCGGTTCTGAGGCGGCGGCTGCAACTCTTTTTGAGCCCCGCGTGGGTGGCTCGGCCGGCCGGCGGGAGCAGCCGGGGGTTGCGGCGGCGGTGGGCGCCAGCGGAGCGGGCTTGCCTGGAGTCTCCTCCCCCTGGAAGCGGCCGGGATGGAGGGCGGGGGTCGCCGTCTCTTCGGGGGCTGGCTGGGCCCGGCTGAGGGGCAAAAAGAGAGAGAGAGAGAGAGAGAGGAAGGGCTTCGGGCGCTGCTTCGGCTCCCTTCTACTGGCCTACTAGGGGTCGCTCCGGATGTCTGGAGCCCGGACCCATCATCCACAGCCGAACCGAGCCGACCTTGCCCCGGGAAAGTTGCCCTGACGTTTCCAAGCGGGACCTTAAGGAGCTTGGAAAGGGTTGTGTGTTTGTTCAATGCAACGCTCGCTCAACTTCTTTGGTTTGTGTGTTTACTTTGGTGTGTTTTATGAATCCAGCCCAGTTGATGGAAGACAGGTAGTCCTCGACTTAGAACAAGTTCACTTAGTGACCGAAGTTACGACGGCATGGGGGAAAAAAAAGGGACTTGTGGTTGGTTTCCACACTTAACGACCGTTGCAGCGTTCCCCCAGGGCAGGGGTCTGCAGCCTTAAACACTTAAAAGAGCTGTTCGGACCCGTTTCCCACAGAAAAGAAAACAGCGGGAGCCACAAAGCCTGGGTGGGCGTGGCCAACTCAATGTCACTTCCACCCAGTCACATGATGCCCCCTAACCACGCCTACCCAGATGGTCATTAGCGCAGAGAACTGGTTGTTAAAAAACACCGGGAACCCCAAAACCCTTTTGATCTTCCTCCCTCCCTCCCCCCTCTCTGTATCTCTCTCTCTCTCTCTGTATCTCTCTCTCTCGCTCGCTCCTCCCTCTCTATCCCTTCCTCCTCTCTGTATCTCTCTTGCTTCTCCTCTCTCTGTATCTCTCTCTCTCTCGCTCCCCCTCTCTCTATCTCTCTCTTGCTCCCCCTCTCTCTCGCTCCCCCCTCTCTCTAAATCTCCCTTCCTCCTCTCTGTATCTCTCTTGCTTCTCCACTCTCTGTATCTCTCTCTCTCGCTCCCCCTCTCTGTATCTCTCTCTTGCTCCCCCTTCTCTCTATCTCTCTCTTGCTCCCCCTCTCTCTCGCTCCCCCTCTCTCTGTAACTCTCTCTTGCTTCCCCTCTATTTCTCTCTCTCCCTCCCTCCCCCCTCTCTGTATCTCTCTCTCGCTCCCCCTCTCTCTGTATCTCTCTGTCTGCCCCGCCGCTTCTCCATCCCGCATCATAGCCCTTACCTTCTTAGGCCAAGCAAGGAGTGACTGGGAGTGGAGGGCGAGGGGCGGGGCCAGCCAGTGGGATCACCTGACCGGGAGCCAAAGCAGAGGGCCCAAAGAGCCGCATGCAGCTCCGGAGCCACAGGTTGCTGACCCCCGCCCCAGGGTCACGTGATTTACATTTGAATGCTTGACAACAGACTCACACTTATGACGGTGGCAGCACCCCTGGGTCCTGCGATCCCCTTTTGCGACCTTCAAACAAGCAGCGTCCATGGGGAAAGCCAGACCCACTTAATTAGTAACCGTGTTACTAATTTAACGACTGTTGCGGTTCACTTAACAAATGCGGCAAGAAAAGTTGTAAAATGGGGCAAAACTCACTTAACTAATTTCTCACTTAGCAACAGACTGGGTTCAATTGTGGTCATAAGTTGAGGACTACTTGCAGTCAGTGACGTAGAAAAGGATCCCATTGGATACTCGGATTAAACTCGAACATAGCACACAATCCACAACAATTAAGAGTGGTTTATAAACCGAATCAATCAATACAACATAAAGGTTGCAAGCAGGCTATTTCTGATTTCTCCTTATTTTTTTACATTTTACCTATTACAGTAGAGATAGTGTGGCTGTTTGAAGTTACAATGGCACTGACTATTTTTCACACTTAACAACCGTTGGCAGCATCCCTGTGGTCACGTGATCAAAATTCAGATGCTTGGCAACTGACTCATATTTATGACGGTCGCAATGTCCCGGGGTCACGGGATCCCCTTTTGCAACCTTCTGACAAGCAAAGTCAATGGGGAAGCCAGCTTCGCTTAACAACCGTGTTCCTAACAGCTACAGTGATTCATTTAACAATTGTGGCAAGAAAAGTGGTAAAAAGGGGCAAGACTAATTTAACAACTGTCTCACTTAGCAACAGAGATTTTGGACTCAATTGTGCTTGTAAGTAATGTAATCCATGAATAGAGTAGAGTAGAGTAGAGTAGAGTAGAATAGAATAGAATAGAATAGAATAGAATAGAATAGAATAGAATAGAACAGAACACTAACAGATTAACAGAGTTGGAAGGGACCTTGGAGGTCTTCTAGTCCAGCCTGCTCAAGCAGGAGAACCTATACCATTTCAGACAAGTGACTGTCTAGTTTCTTCTTAAAAACCTCCAGTGATGGAGCGCCCACAATTTCTGGAGGCAGGCAGTTCCACTGGTTAATTAGGAAGTTTCTCCTCAATTCCAGGTTGCTTCTCTCTTTGGTTAGTATCCATCCATTGTTTCTTGTCCTGCCTTCTGGTGCTTTGGAGAATAATTTGACCCCCTCTTCTTTGTGGCAGCCCCTCAAATACTGGAATACTTCTATCATGTCTCCCCCAATTCTTCTTTTCTTTAGACTAGCCAGACCCAAATCCTGCAGTTGTTCTTACATTTTAGTCTCCAGGGGCCTCTGATCATCTTAGTTGCTCTTCTTTGAACTTTTTCCAAAGTCTCAACATCTTTTTTGTAGTGTGGCAACCAAAATTGGTTGCAGTATTCCAAATGTGATCTTACTAGGGCTTTATAAAGCTGTTTATTTAGAGCAGTGTTTTTCAACCTTGGAAGCTTGAAGATGGGTGGACTTCAACTCCCAGAATCCCCCAGCCAGCAGCACTGGCTGGGGGTTTCTGGGAGTTGAAGTCCACCCATCTTCAAGCTTCCAAGGTTGAAAAACACTGATTTAGAGGCATTTATATACGATTGTTCTTTTAGCAACGGTTTGAAGTTATGACAGCCTTGGAAAAAATGCCTTTCAACCTGTCCTCAGAGTTATGACCATTGCACTCTCCCCCCCCCAATAGTCATGTGATTGCAATTTGGAATGCTTGTCATCACGTGATCGTGATTTGTGACCTTGCCAGCTGGTTTCGGAGAAGCAAAATGCATCCTTATACATCCTTAAATGTATCCTTGATTAAAGCAGAATAAAGAATCACAATTTAATCATGATATTTTTTTTTCATGGGCGCAACAACATGATCTTATGGGCCAAGAACTAGATTAGATTGTCAAACGAGTTTAGACAATTTGTATCTCATTGTGTTGTGGGAACCTAGCTATTGCCTTTAGGTTAAACAGTAATCTGCTTTCTTTGTCTGGGCAAGCATAGTGTCTTCTGTGAATAAAAATAACAGTTATAGTTTTTGATCTGGATTTAAATTTTGGCTGCCGAGCAAACTCAGCCATTGTCTATGGGCACACAATGTACTTTAAAATGATCTGCTAAAATGAGTTGTGCAAACACAGCCACACACTTAGTGAAGAAATGTTACCTACCTTAGTTGCTAGCAGTTGGTTCTTGCTACTTTGCCTCTGGGTGGTGATTCCTAGACACACACTGACTTTTGCACTCTTACAAAAAAGGTTTTACGGTCTCCTCTAGCCAAGAATGGATTAATTTTAATTTTAATTTTAATTAATATTTTAATTTTAATTAATATTTTAATTTGTTTAGTTTAGTTTAGTTTAGTTTAGTTTAGTTTAGTTTAGTTTAGTTTAGTTTAGTTTAGTTTAGCTTAGTTTAGTTTAGTTTGATTTTTACATAGCCATCCATCTTAAGCCAAACTCTAGGCAGCTCCCAAACAAGAATTAAAATATCAGTAAAAAGACAACATAAAAACCATATTAAAACTACTAAAACCATAAACATTAAAAACAAGCATCCGGCACCAAGTTAAACTTCTGGCATGCAGTCACCTAATCTTATCCCAGCGCTTGGGAGAAAAACCAGTTCCTCTAAGCTTTTTGGAAGGCTAGGAGGACAGAGGCCTGCCAAAATTCATGGGGCAGAGTGTTCCACAGGACAGAGGCTGCCTGGGAAAAGCATCAGATGGCAACATTTAGGGAAGGGAATAAGAGCATGTCCACCCCCATCTGACCTGGTGGGACGGGTAAATGTCCTTAGGGAGAGGCAGTCCTGCAGATAACCTGGCCTTGTGCCTTATAGGGCTTTAAAGGTGATTCTCAGTGCCTTGAATTGCACCTGGAAAGAAACTAGAAGTCAATGCACCTTGCATAACAAAGGTGTTTAGATGGTTAAACCTAGGGGAGCTCATCCCTGCACACACAGCCACATTCTGGACCAGATGTAGCTTCTGGGTTTTCTTCAAGGGCAGCCCCAAGTAGGCCGCACTGTAGTAATCCAGACAGGTTTCGGATGCAAATTAGCATGTGCAGGAGTTCAAAACAGTCATCGGAACTAAAAGTGTTGGGAGTTGCACCCACCCTGGATACAATTGGAGGCCCCCGGGGGGGGAGGGGGGAAGGGTTACCCACAAAAAGGAGAATTGAGTGGGCCAGGTTGTACCCACTGGCGGCTCTGGCTATCTTTGACTCATTGGCATTTCCTTTTCTTGATTCTTTGTAAGTCCGGAAATGATCTGAAGCTTACCGAGATAAAGGAAGTTCTCGAAAAGAAGACAATTACTGTAAAACAAACACAGGAGAATCAGGGTGCATCTGAAGACTTTCTGACCAAGGTGCTTGATCCAAGCCTCGCCAGATCAGGATTGACTGGAAATCCTCTCCGATATCAGATCCTGATAAATAAATGTCCTTCCTTCTCTTTGGGGTGAGGGTAAGTACAATCAGTAATCCCAGTATCGATATGGACTCGTAATATACAAAAAGCTGAGAATAGCAACCAGGTCTTAGCAGCCAATGGGAATGCAATGGGAAATACAAGCATCACTTTAATGTTTCCCTATGTGCAAAGAGCAGTGTGTTCCCCCCCCGCCCAATCTAGGCAAGTTTAAGATGAGTGGACATCAACTCCCATTAGCAGCTCTCCTCTGCTCCATGTCTGGATTCTTTCTCTTGACTTGGCTGAAGGTTGCTTATGGGCATTAATTCTATTTTTTAACATACTTTTTTTTAAAGAAGATAAGAACAATACAAATATTAGAGAAGAAGCACAAATAGCGAAGAAGTAAGAAAGAAAAGAGAAAAGGAAGGAAAAAAAGGAAGGAGAGGGAGGAAGGAGGCAGGAAGGAAGAAGGAAGGAAGGAAAGGAAGGCAGGAAGGAAGGAAAGAAGGAAAGGGAAAGGTTATAAAGAAGCAGCTTCTAATCTTTTTAGCAGATTTAATAATGCATTTATAATTTACCACCTTCCTTGTAGAAATGAAAGGAGCCATGTAACAGCAATTGATTGCCTGATATTGGTGTTATGAATATAAATGACTTGTAAAGGTTAGAATTTCCAATCGTTAAAATTTGAGATACTGTATGTTGTTCTGGCCCTTTGAAATTAACGTATCTTGTTGGACTCAAAGACAAATGTTTGTATATTTGTTGTATGTTGCTATGGTCTTATTTAGACTTTGGGATGGTTATCTCCAGCTTTGCAGTTCTCTGTCCTTGCGATGCCCTGAATTCAAATGAGGGGTAACTAACAGATTTTATACTCCTTGACCCTATGGGACATTATTGCATTAAAGTATTCTTATTACTCTTGGTTCAGTTAAAGAGGACTTCAACTTGCCTCAATCCTGGGTCGGGAACAGGATGGAGAAATCTTTAGGGGGAAAAATATATTGCCAGAGTAAATTTGTGCCAGGATCAAGTTAACAAAATGGCATTGTGTATTGGTTTCAATGCACTGCATATATTTCTAGTTAGTAGATTGCAAGCAATGATATATTGATTTAGAAGTATTCATAACCCAGGCTAGAAACCCTGAGTTGTGTAGCAGTAAGTTGTGAGCATGCATAAGTTAAAACAAAGCTGTGGTGGTTTTACTAAGCCTCAATGTTCCTAAAACTGATTGGTATTTTCATTACTATTAGCAAAAAATGGTGTGGCAGGCAGATACAACTAAGATTGGTCCCTTAGTCTAAATTTTTCCTTGTTCCTAGAAAGCTTAATGGGAAAGCTTGATTGAGCAAAACCATAGTAAGAAGTGGAGACCACTATCTAGAGAGGCTCATCTGGTGACAGCCATCACGTGTGGAAGGGCGACAACTTAGAACGAAAGAGGAACAAACAGGAAAAACTATGAGCGAGCATACGAAATGAATGCAAGAAAAAATAGTTAAGTTGTGTGCTTGTGAAACTTAATAGGAAGGGGAAAGGAAATAACACATGTGAAAGTGGTCGGATTAAACAAGGCAGGTAGGAAAGTAAAGGCATAGATTAAATTATGTCTAAAAGAGCCAAATGTCAGGAAAAAGAAAACCAACCAACCAGGTCAATGGGATTATTATTGACTAGCTGGACGCCCGTGCTTCGCTACGAAACTATGTGCTCAGGCTTGATCAATTGACACTTGCAGCCTGAAACTTAATGTAGAATGTGTAACTCCATAGCATCAGAGTGTGTTAATATAATGCAACTAGCAGTTGGAACAGAGGGGGAGGGGGAGTAGAATCATCGGTATTCATCTGGCTAGCATCCTGTCAGTGTGTGAGAGAGTTGAGGGGTGTTTGGAAACTCAAACAGTATTTGCTGTGTGAGCAAGAAGGAGACAGGAAGGAGGCTGGGCATAGCTTAGCTCAACTGTTCTGTAGTAAAGCTGCTTGCTGCTGTGAAAGTAAAGCTGAGAGTGAAACTCCTCTCCTCTGCTTGTGTTTTGCATTTGGAACAGATTTCTTTTCAGGTGGAGAGCGGGAGTAGAACTCCTTAGCATCAGAGCGTGTTAATAATAATATAGGAAAGCAACCTGGAATTAAGGAGAAACTTCTTAACAGTGAGGACAATTAACCAGTGGAACAGCTGGCCTCCAGAAATCATGGATGCTCCATCACTGGAAGTTTTTAAGAAGAGACTGGACAGTCGCTTGTCTGAGATTGTATAGGTTCTCCTGCTTGAAGAGGGGGCTGGAGTAGAAGACCTCCAAAGTCCCTTCTCTTCTCTTCTCTTCTCTTCTCTTCTCTTCTCTTCCTCTTCCCTCTCTCTTCCTCTTCTCTTCTCTCCTCTCCTCTCCTCTCTCCTCCTCCCTCCTCTCCTCTCCTTTCCCCCTTCTCTTCTCTTCTCTTCTCTTTCTTTTTCTTTTCTTCTCTTCTCTCTTCTCTTCTCTCTCTTCTCTTCTCTTCCTCTTCTCTTCTCTTCTCTTCTCTTCTCTTCTCTCCTCTCCTCTCCTCTCCTCTCCTCTCCTCTCCTCCTCCTCTCCTCTTAATTCTATTCTATATTGTCCTAAAGATGCTTTTTTTCAAGAGGCAACTGGACTTCTGGTTTTTCTTTGAAGACATTTCGCTTCTCTTCCAAGAAGCTTCTTCAGCTCTGACTAGATGGTGGGGAATGGAAGGATTTATACTCCTTGGAGGCAGCTGGTCATTTGCCTTCTTTTTAGCAAGTCGTTAAGGTCACCTGGAGGTGACCTTATCTGTGTCATCGGGGTTACCTTCCTTCCATTCCCCACCATCCAGTCAGAATTGAAGAAGCTTCTTGGATGAGAAGCGAAACGTCATCAAAGAAAAATGAGAAAGTCCAGTTGCCTGTTGAAAAAAGCACCTTCGGGACAACCATAACTCAGGACTAGAGTTAGATGACCGAGAATCTCCACAGATATTCTGTAAATTGTCCTATCTGTGTGGTTACGAACTGACACATTATCTTACTCATTCATCTAAGAAACCCCCCCAAAATAGTAGATAAACCTCGCAACAAAATAAAACGAAAGCGAACAGAAAGAAAGAAGATGCACTGCAGGATAAGAAAAGTTAAAATAAAGCCAGATATATCATCCTGAGAGGTTATTAAAAACAGGATGCTTTATGGGCCTCCAGTGACAGCTCTGGAACAGGGCCTGAAAAACTCGTGAGGCCTCGAGAAGCAAAACATCTCCAAGGCAAAACCAAGGAAGTCCAGTCGCCTTTTGAAAAAGCACCTTCAGGACAACCGTGGCTTGGATGACCGAGAATCTCCATAGACATCCTGAGGCCCTCCCTTGCCTGCTGCGCTGGGGAAGATGGGAGTTGTATTCCAACACATCTGGAAAACATCGGATCCAGATTCCAGGAAGGTTCTCCGTTTAGGTTTTTCTGCAGCCTCTCTTTATATTGAATTGTTTGAAATTAAATCTCTCTCTCTTTGTTATTTATGGGTTAAACACTAAGGGAAATTTCATGGAGTGATTCATCATCCAAAGGATGTGGTTACACTTTTTATAGAAGAGGAACTTTTATAGAATAGAAACGTGCTGCAGTGATGGCCATTTCCATAGAAACAACGGAGTCTTTTCTAGATCTGAGGAGTAGTGTTTATAGGTGTATGCTTTAAAAACCTTAAAAAATTATCATGTGACAAAAAAAAAAAACCCCACCACCCATCAAACACAGAACCTCACAAAATGCATAGCACTTATCCAGTTACAATGTTAGGTTTGTGAGTAGAAATAAAAGGGAAACTAAGCATAAGAATTAGTACACATCATCCAGATTGCTAATATTCATAAAATTGGGTTGGACAACTGTCATGACTTGCGACCATCATGGGCAATAGCAATAGCCCTTAGACTTATATACCGCTTCACAGTGCTTTACTAACCCTCTCTAAGCGATTTACAGAGTCAGCCCCTTGCCCCCAACAATCTGGCTCCTCATTTGACCCACCTGGAAGGATGGAAGGCTGAGTCAACCTGGAGCCGGTCAGGATCAAACTGCTGGCAGTGGACAGAGTCAGCCTGCAATACTGGATGGATGGACAGATGGATGGATGATGGATGGATGGATGGATGGATGGAGGGAGGGATGGAAGGAAGGAAGGAAGGAAGGAAGGAAGGAAGGAAGGAAGGAAGAATACTTAAGACTTATATACCACTTCATAGTGCTTCACAGCCCTCTCTAAGCGGTTTACAGAGTCAGCCTCTTGCCCCCAACAATCTGGCTCCTCATTTGACCCACCTTGGAAGGATGGAAGGCTGAGTCAACCTGGAGCTGGTCAGGATCAAACTGCTGGTGTGGACAGAGTCAGCCTGCAATACTGGATGGATGGATGGATGGATGGATGGATGGGATGGATGGGAGGGAGGAGGGAGGGAGGAAAATAGCAATAGTACTTAGACTTATATACCACTTCACAGTGCTTTTAGAGCCCTCTCTAAGCAGTTTACAGAGTCAGCCTCTTGCCCCCAACAATCTGGCTCCTCATTTGACCCACCTCTTAAGGACGGAAGGCTGAGTCAACATTGAGCCTGGTGAGATTTGAACTGACAAATTGCAGTCAGCCGGCAGTCAGCAGAATTACGCAGCAGTGCTGCACTCTAACCGCTGCGCCACCGTGTCAGTCTCCATTAGAGTCATTTGTCGAGAATTACTGGTAGATGCGTTGTTGCATTGTAGGCTTTTAGACAAGTTTAAAATCAGTTTCTTAGGAATAAGGAAACCGTTCACACGATGGGTGGAAAGTCTAGGAGCCGTAATCCCCAAATATTTGAAAGGCATTCAAAGTTAAAACTGGCTGTTCTCTGGATTGCTTTAGGAGCTCCAGTTGGGAAGGAGGATGCCAATGTCTGACCTTGCAAGATTTTCAAATGAAGAAGAGGAAAGGCTTCAAATTTAGAGCAAAAATGCTTCTTGGTACCAAAACAAAACAAAACAGGAAACCAGAAACTTCTCCTTTGGTGTGTTTATGCTGCAGCT